ATCCATTTTGTCCCGAGGTATCCCTGCTTGTGAGTGGGAATTTTTAATTGCCAGCATCGCAGTGAGTTGTTGCTCCCTCGGCGTTTCCGAGGCTCTCAGCAGAGCTGCTTGGACTTTTTCATTAATTCAGGGTGGGTCTTTTTTTGGCTGCCTACTGTAAACGACGTAAGGCTTTAAAAACTGATCAATAATCCTGATGGCAGTGGCAAAATCCAGGCCAAGGCGGTGTGAATGTGAGCCACAGATTACGTGAAGGAAGTTTTAAACACCTCTGACTCCCTTCCCTTCCCTGGACTTGCTTTGTCCTCCCACCTCCCCGTGCTCCTCCAGCCAGATCCATTCACATTTCTCATGCTTGTTGAGCCCGTGACAGGTGATTTAAAAGCCCCAGTTTGCGTTGGCACCTCCGCTCTTCATAACCAGAGCCGAAACACATCGCTGCTGTCCTGCTGTGGATTGGCTGTGATTTATTGCTGTTGCTGGCAGGCTGGAGCACAGAGGTGCTGGCTCATTCCAGGAGGGAGGGATGTCTGTGGGAAGTGAGCCCCCCGAGGAGGACAGCTTGACAAACACCCGCGCTTGGGAACGCGACGTCGTTGAGGCGCCTGTTTTAACTTCTTCATTGAGGAGGCATCCTCCTCCTTGCCTCAGCAAAACTTACTTCACAGGCTTGAAAAGGGGAAGAAAATGTGGCAGAGAGGCATCCTGGGTTTGATCTGTTGCTCTGCCTTTGATAAGGAAGTTGTTGTGGTTTAGGGGTTGAAGTTTGTACAAGCAGTTTTGGCTCAGGTTTGCAAGGAGAGAGCGGTTTGATGTGTGATTCTCTCTCTCTCCCAAAACAAGTCTTCAGCCTCTTGTCTTCCTTCAGAAAATGGTTGTCTCATCCCAAGGGAGGTCTGCTGGGTAATTTGTGGGTAATGGAGGGGAACAGACCTCAGAGGGAGAAGGGTTTCCAGCATGTGAACAGAATTGTCTTTAGGGAGAAAATGTGGTGTCAGAAATGACAGTTGGTGCTGCTGGCTTTTCCTGGCTCAGGATAAACGACTTTGGGAGGAGAAGTGGAGGAAAACCTGCTTTCTGGGAGCTACCACAGCGCTGCCTGCCTTTCATCACAACCTGAGTGGTGTGTCCTTGGACCCAGTCCCCAGGATGGGAGAGGGAGAGAGAGGAGCACTTGGACCTACAGTAGTTAGCAGGCTGACCTGTGAAATATGGGTTATCCATCATCCAGTTCTGTCCTTCTCTTGGGAGCTCATGGCTTTTGGGGAGGGCAGTGTGGCTGTAGTCTGTGCCATCCCCCACAGATCCTGGGATGCTGCTGCTGCTGCTGCCACCCTCCAGGCACCTGCTCTGTCCCCATGGGAGATGCAGGCATCCTCTCTGAGCATTGCCCAAACCTTTGGCTGTGGCTTGAAAGGCAGGGCACATCCCTGGAGCTAGCTTGGAGGTGCTGGGTCTGGGGTTAAAAGTTAACAGTGCTCTTTCCTTATTCCATTCTAATTCAATTTGGGAAGGCAGCAGGGAGATGGAGGGCACTTAGTCCTCTAAGTGCTATTCCCTTGATGGGAGCACTGCATGTGTGGTGTTGATTCTGTAAGCTGACCTTTACCTCCATCAGGTTCATTCTCATTTATAATACTTAAAAAAAATCCCCGCCTCCATCCTCTTATTTATTCCTTGGGCATCGAGGACATAAATCCTTTGGCATGTTTGGATTTATGGAATTACTGTGCTTTTGCTGAGCCTCACGTCCCACTCCAATCAAATGACACGGCTCTGCGGGTGATTGCATTTCTCCTCCCCTGCCTCCCTCCGTGCTGCTCCTGATCTACATCTCCTCGTGCTCCCTGCAGCCTTTCCAGAGAAAGGTGGGCCCTTGGCAGCCAGAGGGAAGGATGGGAAGGGGAGTCAGCCAATCTTGGGGTTATCAGTGGTTGCTTCTGAAGGGCAACAACCTCCAGGTACCTCCTTCCCTGGTGCAGAATGAAAATGCTGAGATGCTTTCCCAGGAGGCATTTCATCAGCTCTGCTCCAGGGCTCCTCCAAAACCACAGCGTTTCCGTGGTGGCTGGGGAGAGGGGGGAGTTATAAATATCTTTCTTGTCTCTGCTTGGCTTCTTCTCAAGATAAATAGAAGCGAAAGTCAAAAGCAGAGCCTTGGCTCTCTGCAATATCTTCCCAAGTCCCCAGAGACCTGAGCGCAGGATGCTTTTGTGATGGGAAGCCACTTCCTGGTGTTCCAGAGGTGTTGGAGGGTTCCTGGTGCTCCAGAGGTGTTGAGGATGACGTTTGAGGGGCCTCTCTCCTCACTGCCTGAGGCAGGTCTCAGCTGTGCTGTGATCTCCGTGCCTGGAGTCCGGTGGTTTCTGTCATGGGAAGCCTCAGGGAGCACAAGGAGCATCAGTGAGAAGCCAGCCTGAAACAAGAGCAGAAAAAAGTGTCTGTGGTTGTCCTCTAAATCTCGTAGCATGTTTACTCTCAGAAAGTACAGCCACATTACCAAAAATCAATAGTTCTAGCAGCGTTCCTCCCTGGGAAACACACAGCTGCTCGAACACACGGGAGGTGGTGAATCTTAAAAAAGCCAAGGGAATACAAAGTGCTTTGCTACAATGGCTTTGCTGCACTTTTAGCAGTGTACAAATGGAGGGCCCTTGACCTGGGCAGTGTCTTCTGAGGCTTCCCAATCATCCTTCTGCTGTGACATGCCTGAGGCTGTGTGAGGCAAGAGGGGCTTGGGGAGGTTTGTCTCATTAACTTAGTTTTGCTTTGAAGTACATGTGTTTAGTGAGAAAAACAGGTTGTGGTGTGCAGCAACTGCATAAACAAAACTCTTCCTTGGGTCATTTTGTGGAAAGGTTTGACTTCTAGCAATGCTGATGGGTCTGGCACATGTCAGCATTTAATTTGTTTTCTTCATGGAATCCTGGAATGGTTTGTGTTGGAAGGGACCTTAAAGCCCACCTTGTTCCATTGCCGTGGGCAGGGACACCTTAGGTCAGAGTGCTCCAAGGTCCTCCTAACCTGGCATTGCACACTTCCAGGGATCCAGGGGCAGCCACAGCTTCTCTGGGCACCCTGTGCCAGGCCTGCCCATCTCACAGGGAGGAATTTCTTCCCAGTATCTGAATCATGCTCAGGCAGTGGGAAGTCATTCCTCTTTGTCCCATGACTCAATGCCCTTGTCCAAAGTCCCTGTCCAGCTCCCTTGGAGCCCCTTTAGGCACTGGAGGTGGCTCTTGTCAAGCTTTAGTACTCCTTGCTTCCCAGCACACCTGCCACTCCCTCTGTCAGGAATCCAGAGAGAGGTAATTTCTGTTTTTCCAGGGTGGAGAGGGCTCTGTGTTGGGAAGGAGTGACTGTGAGCAGCCACTGTGACAGGGACAGGTGTGAAGGTTTGGGGTGAGTGGGCACAGAGCATTGCAGGCAGCCCCAAAGAGCACCATCCTCCCTTCTGAGGTCAGCCAAAACAAAGAGAAAGGTGACCAACCCCTTTTTACTGCCATCTCTTATTAATGAGATATTTTATCCTAAGTCCTCCAACATGAACGGCGCAGGCTTTTGGGAACATAATTAATCTTTCTTGTATAAATCTTTAATTGTGTGAAATGGAGTTTGTGTGGCTGTCATCATTTCTCTTCCTCTCTTTTCCTCCTCTCCTGGTTGGAGATGCTTCCTTAGCACAGCTTCTTTCTGCTGGCTGCTCTTCCTCAGGGCACTGACCCCGTGGAGCCACCACTCACAGTGTCCCTTGAGGCCACGCTGCTGCCCTGGGGTCTCTTGCTCTGCCCCAAGATGGGCAGGGAATCACTTTCCCTACGGCTCTTCTCCTTTGTGGAGTGACAGCAAACCCAGGAATTGTCCTGAAAGAAAACTAGCTGGTCTCCTCTGGAAAAAAGGGTACAGAATACTCTTGGGACCAACAACAAAAGAGCGGTTGTGCCCAAATCAGTGCCAGGCAGAGCCAAATGCCTCTTTGGAGGAGGTGAAGTGCAGCCTTTCAGATGCTAAGTAGTTATTTGGGATTTCAGTCAGTCCCTCTATGGAGGAATTGATGCACCATTGGCTCCAGGAGGATTAATGTGTTGGCTTTCCTTCTTGCCTTCTGTAAAGGGCAGCAAGGGCTGGGGGACTGTCTCAAGCCCACGCCTGCAGGGGCAGATAGAAAATTGAATAGGAGACAGATGGAATGGACATTTTGGAGATCTCCAAGGTGGGGAGAAGCCACGGCTCGGGTTCTCAGTGACTCACAGCTCTCCTGTTAAACAGAGCTTTCCAAATTAGCATCTCCACCGAGAAGCTTTTCCTGAGGCACAGCTGATGTTCCCAGGTAGAGCAATTTCCTGCTGCTTAATGGAACGGGAGGAGCACTTTGCACTCGGATGCCACGATGCTTTTCCAGCAGTAACTTCTTGTAAGGAATTCTGATGTCATTTTTCTTGGTCTGCTCGGTGGGTTGGATTAATGGGCAGGGCCACACCCCCTGGGCTCCGAGCTGGCTTGCTTTCCTTAATTTGCACTCAAGTCTTTGCGGAACAAAGACGGATTTGTTGAACAAAGCGGGGTCAGTGCTGGGATGAGGAGCCCTGTGCCTCCAGCCTGCTACTTTGAATTAGGACTGAGCTGTGGCTGTTAAGTCCTGCGTCCTGTGGCCTGGATTGGTGCAAACCTGCTGGCCTCAAACCTTGCTGCTGCAGAGCCTGTGACCTCGAGAGCCACCCTGGGTGGTGCCTCCAGAGCGGTGGTGCCTCCCCACGCTCCCTCAGTGACACAGGGAGCAAAACAGGGCAGGTTTCAGCAGCTGCTGCTGTAGATAAAAAGAGTTCAAGTGCAGCCTTTAGTGGGAAAAATAACCTAAAGAACACTTTGATGTAAAGGCAAAGCCAATCTGTGAGGAGAGGCTTTTGACAGGACCAGCTCCTGCGAGAGAGCCGTGGGCCAGCTGCAGGCTCCATCCCTCTGGTGCCCTTCAAGTGGTTTTTTTTTCTTCTTCCTTTCAGCTCTTTGAGAACTTCCACTTCGGGGAGGTGCAGCTGGACTCGGTGCGTCTCTCCCAGAGGTTCTCCTCGGACGCCTCTGGCTACTACGCCACATCTGGGCAGCTGTGCTTCTCTTGAGGCAGCCATGGTGGGTCTGCTGTGGGCATGATCCCTCAGTGAAAGGTTTTATAGGACATGAATCTTCAATGGAAACCTGGGAACTCCAAGCTGGGTTGCCTCATGACTCCTCCAAAGCATGGGAACTGTGGCATTTCCGTGCAGCTTTTCCCGCTGCCCTCTTCTTCACGGCTGCCTTCCTCCTCCTTTCCCCAAACATCACAAAGTTTCCTCTTTGATGTCTGTGGATTGCTGGTTTTCCAAGAAAACGACTAGAACTGGGGCTTTTGGGGCATCACTGGTGTTTAAATATGGGGTTTTTTTCAGAAGAGGGAAGTTTGTTCTTAAAATAAGTATTTAAAATCCAGAAGAGCTTCGCCGGAGCACGATTTAACGATATTGAGGTCAGGCATTGCTTGGATCTCCAGCAGCGTGCCTGTGTGATGTGGATCTCCAAATAAATTAATTCCCTTCAAAAGCAAAGTGTTTATCTCCTGTTGCATTGATAGTTTCTGTAATTAAACTTCCAGCACAGCACATAACTATGATAATAAGAAAGCACTGACGGTTAGAGCTCTTTCCAGTGACCGTTTCGGAGCGTGTCAAAAAACATATGCCTTGTAGGTGGTTTCTCCATTAAAAGCAGCACCAAGCTCTTTGATTCCATTGTGAATCCTTCAGAGATCTCAAGACAAAGTTGTTTTTCCCCTGTAAATCTCCACATTTGGTAAAAATAGCGACACAGGATTTCGACTTGCCCTAAGATGAACGCTTTGGAAAATGGAAGTGCTGGTGCTTGGGTGTTTTGTAACACAACAGGTGCTGCTGCCCATTCCTAGTTGCTTCCATGGGTATGGAATCATGCTGTGGTAGAGGTGGAGAGTGTCTCAGCCAGGGATAGGGGTGCTCCAGCAGCACCCACATGTCCTAGTGGTAATTTCTAAGAGACCTTCACCCCTTTTCCTCCCTCCAGAGTGAGCTGGCTGCTTGGCCGTGCACAAACAGCAGTGGGAGTCATTCAGGAACTGGGATTGCTTTGCTTTTTCCCTCCAAATGTATTGCTGTGTATGTTTCCCAGACCAAATTGCCTGTCTGCTTTCAAGCCTGCCTGTCTGTCAGGCAATCAAATCATCTGTGCTTTTGCTGGGTGCCCTTGCTTGTCCCCAGCCAGAGCCGTTGGGCTGTTTGTGTCCCTTTCCTTGGCGTCAGAACGCCTCTGTGCTCTCCAAAAGCCGCCTTGCAAGCGGTTCCCTCGGGGAGCAGAGCACAGCACGCACTCACAGGGAGGTGCTGAGAGCACTTAACACCAGTTGCTGTCATCTTTCCGCCAGCCTGAAGAGGTACTTGGCAAATCTCTCTGGAACAGACCCGGGAGCTGCTCACGCAGCCACCAGGAAAGGGGAGGTGCACCTTGGGAAGCTTCTGCCTGATGAGTTTTTAACAACTCTCAATGGGAAGTTGAGGCAAACACGGGTTTTTGACAATTGGAGCATGCTCCTCCCCTTCCCACTTGTGTAAACATGTTTTAGTGGCAATTCTTTGGGAAGTTGGTTGAATTTCGCTGGTAAGCGGCTTATCCCGCTGCTCTAGCCTGGCACAGCAAAATTCATTTCACACCTCCTTCCCCAGGCAGAATTAAGGATTCTGATCTTTTGCCTGACATCACTGGGGTTTGCTGGCAGTTTTCCCTCCCGTCCTGAGCATCCTGGCAGGGAGAGGAGAAGCTGGATGTGTGCTGTGGCATCCCCAGCTGAAGCTGTGAAGGAGCTGCAGCTGGGGTGAGTTGTCACTTGTTGCCTACCCAGATTTCCCCCCGCTGAGAAGAGGGGAAAATCCAGAAGCAAAACCTTGGGATAGGGGGGAATCTTCCCTGGGGCCCTAAAATGCCGTGGTGGGATGGCCAAGGAGTGGGAACCACAGTGTGAGCATTGCAAGGAGAGGGGTTGGAGGATGGGAGATGCCAGGGACAGGGGGCTGTGGGATGGGGCTGGGAATGGGACTGGGAATGCAGGATGGGGTGTGCAGGTGGGGATGTGGAAGGAATGGGGGATGTGTGATGGATCCATGGTAAGAGTGAGGGATGTGGGATGACTGGTGCTGGATGGGGATGTGGCAGGGGGTGCAGGATGGGGGATGTGAGGTGGGCACCTGGCAGGGACCAGGGCTGCTGTGTGAGGGATGTAGGATGAGAACATGGCAGGGACCAAGGGATGCAGAACATTGGATGTGGGATGGAGCCTGGGTAGGGACCAAGGCTGCAGGATGGGGGATGCAGAATGGAGATGTGATGGGGATGGGGGATGCAGGATGGGGACTGGGTAAGGACCAGGGATGAGGGGTGCAGGATGGGGGTGTGGAATGGAGATGTGATGGGGATGGAGGATGCAGGATGGGGACTGGGTAAGGACCAGGGATGAGGGGTGCAGGATGGGGGTGTGGAATGGAGACGGGATAAGGACCAGGAATGCAGGATAGAGGATGCGGGAGGGGATGTGTCAGGGATGGAGGATGGGGACGCGGTGGGGACCAGTAGTGCAGGACGAGAACTTCACGATGGGGGTGCGGCAGGAGATGCGGGGCGCACGATGGGGGACGCGGGACGGGGGCAGGTCAAGGACGAGGGTGCAGGACGGTGACGGAAGGGGCCCGGTGCCGCGGCCGTGCCGAGCCGTGCCGAGCCGTGCCGAGCCGTGCCGGCGGCTCCCCCGCCCCGGTGTCGGCGCGCAGGTGCGGCGGGCGCGGCGGAGGCCCCGCCCCGGCCCTCCCGCCGGTGCCGCCCGGTGCCGCCCCGCGGCCGCACTCGCCGGCGGCGCCTCCCCGTGCGCACCGCACCGCTCCGCACCGCGCCCGCTCCCCCCGGCGCTGCGGCAGCATGCGGGGCTGCGGCGGGCGCCGCGCCCTGCTGGCCCTGCTGGCCCTGCTCCTGCCCGCCGCCGCCGCCGGCCCCGGGCCCGCCGCCGGCCCCGCCACCGGCCCCGGGCCCGCCGCGGCGGGGGAGAGCCCCGGCAATTTCATGGAGGACGAGCAGTGGCTCTCGTCCATCTCCCAGTACGGCGGCAGGATCAAGCACTGGAACCGCTTCCGAGACGTGAGTCCGCGCCGGCGGCGGGGCGGGGGGGACGGGACGCGCTGCCGGGCACCGGGAGCCCCCTCCCCGCCTCCCCGCCTCCCCGCGCTCCCCGCCCGCCGCTGCGGCTGCCGCAGCACGACCCTCCCCGGCCTCGGCCCCACGGCGGTGCCCGCATCCCGCCGCGGCCGTGGGCGGCTGCCGGCCCCGGTGCCCGGGGGATGCTCCGCGGCCCCGGTGCCCGGGGGATGCTCACCGGCTCCGGCGGCGCCGCCGCCTCCCTGCCCGACGCCAAAGCTGCGTGGCCAGGGCTCGATGCCAAAGCGACCCTCTCCGGTGACCGGGGGTGCTGTCTGTGCCCCGCACCCTCCGCCCGTGCCCCACATGGGGGTGCAGGCGGGGCTGCGCCGTGGCCCGGAACCCTCGGTGAGAGCGCAGGGCACGGGCATCCCCCGGGACTGCGCTCCCCGAGCCCTCCGGGTGCCTCCGGAGCCCGCGCGGTGCCGCAGCCGGGGCCGGCGCTGCCTCGGCGGGTGGTGACCCCTGGGGATGGGGGGGACGCCAGAAGGGAGGATGGGGATGCAGGCAGTGCTGGAGGAGCGCTGGCACACCTGGCACAGCGGGCTCGGGATCCTGTCACCCCTCGCTGCTCCACAGCCCTTGCGAGCAGCCTCGATGGCATTCAGCTGCAGCATTTAATGTTATGGAGCAGTCGGGGTTTTTCCTGGGCTCGTTTTACACCTGCTCGTGTCCCCCGGGTGGGGGACACGGTGCTGCAGCCCCATCCGGGGGGGGCCCAGGGCACCTGCAGCAGCCGGGCGGGGAGGGGGCACAGCCCGAGCCAGCCCCCCGTGGTCTTTGTTCAGATGCACACCCGGGTTCACCTTGGCAGCCAGGAGGGGATGGATGGATGAATGGATGGATGGATGGATGGATGGATGGATGGATGGATGGATGGCAGGCAGCAAGGGAGATGTGCCCACCGCAGGGCAGGGCAGGGGGCACCACCCCCGAAATAAACCATTTGGGGGGCAGAGCACGGGTGAGCGTGCCAAGGTGTAAATTCCCCCCCTGGAGAGCCCTGCCCACAACACCCCCGCTGGCAATGCCAGCCCCGGGCACCTCGCTGGCTGCGGTGCCCGAGGGGAGGGAGCCTTGTGGACATGCCGGGGTTCGGGGGGATGCCCCATGCCATCCCCAGCACACGTGGGGCCCTCCCTGCCGGGGCTCGGCTGCCGTGCCGCGGGGCTGCAGCCCTCCTGGCGGTTAGCTTGGATTAATAAGCAAATCCATGGATTTGTGGGGTTTTCCGCTGAGCAGCGCCGGCGGGGGGATGCAGGGGGGGAGGCCGGGGCCGCAGGGAGCTGCCGGGCGCCGCAGCGTTACCAATCACGGCACGGGAGCGCGGCTATCGATTGCGGTGCAAACACCGCCGTGCTGGAGCGACACATCCCCTCCGGAGCTGCCTCCCGTGCCGCCGCTCCCTGCTGCCGTCCCAGAGCCTGCCCGCCCTCCCCAGGCGGCGGGGATGCTCCTGCCTTGGCGCAGAGCTCGTCCCGTGGGGCGGGCGGTGCTGCTGCGGGAGGGTTCGGTCCCTGCTGTCCCCCGCACCCCCGGGATGCTCTCGGGTCCTGGGGGAGCAGCTCTGCCTCCCCAGGCTGCGACATCCACCTCGGCCCCCTCCTCCTGGGCTCACCATTGTGGCAGCGCCGTGGGGATCCCCCGAGCTCCTCACTGGGCTCCCAAGGGCTCCCTTCCTCCGCCCGATGCCATTTCCATCCCCATTCCCTGGCTCTCCCAGCTGGCTGATGGGGGAAGGCGTTATCCTGTGTGGAGGCTCTCCAGGATTACAGGTCTAGAGCCAGAGATGGGGAGCACGTTGGTGTTGGTGCCAGTGATACCCCGGGCTGGTGGCGAGAGCTTTGGAAGGTCGGGGTGCCCCGCTGGCACAGGGTGCCTGTCACTGTGGGTTGGGGCGGGGAGCAGCGCTCTGGGTGCCCCTGAGCTGACGGTGGGCTTTCTCTTTCTCTTTCTCTTTCTCTTTCTCTTTCTCTTTCTCTTTCTCTTTCTCTTTCTCTTTCTCTTTCTCTTTCTCTTTCTCTTTCTTTCTCTCTTTTTCTTTTGTCGGTGCCGGCTGGGCCGTGTCGCTGCCGTGCCGCCAGGAGGTGGAGGTGAGCCTCGAGGGGATGGCACCCTCTCCTGGGGTCCCTGCTCCCCGTCCCTGCCCCGCGGGGGTGCCCTGGGGTGTGTGGCGGTGGCCCCGAGCCGGGGGATGGCACGCCCGGCGGGGTGTCACCATCCCCGCCACCCGCACTCATGCGGGCTCTCCCCGATTCGCAGGATGACTACATCAAGAGCTGGGAGGACAACCAGCCCGGGGATGAAGGTACCGCTGGGATGGGTTTGGGATGGAGCGCAGTGGGCTCGGTGCCAGGCAGCATGGCGGGAAGGGGGGTCGCACTCCCTGCTGGCACCCCCGGGTTTTCCCTTCCGCTCGGAGCGGTGCCGGGCTCGCTGCGAGCCGGGAGCAGCGGCTGGAGCCGGGGCTGCGGTCAGTGGCGCTTTGTGCCGGCGCTGCCGGGCGCCCCCCGCCCCAGCGCCTCTGTGCCCGCAGCCCTGGACACCACCAAGGACCCGTGCCAGAAGGTGAAGTGCAGCCGGCACAAGGTGTGCGTGGCGCAGGGCTACCAGCGCGCCATGTGCATCAGCCGCAAGAAGCTGGAGCACAGGTAGGAGCGGGGCAGGAGCCGGGCGGAGGGAAGGGGGCCCAGGCGGGCGCTCAGCGCCTCTCCCCCTGCAGGATCAAGCCGCTGGGCCCCAAGGCGCACGGCGGCTGCAAGCCCTGCCACGCCGCCCCGCTGGCCGCCGTGTGCGGCTCCGACGGCCACACGTACAGCTCGGCGGTAAGGACGGGGCGGCGCCGCGGGGACGGGGCCGCGGGTCCCCCCGTGTCCCCCCGCCGATATCCCGGTGCCGCCCCGCAGTGCAAGCTGGAGCAGCAGGCGTGCCTGGCCAGCAAGCAGCTGACGGTGCGCTGCGAGGGGCAGTGCCCCTGCCCCACCCCGCACAGCCCCGCCGGCGACACCAAACAAGGTGAGCGCGGTGCGGGGCGCCGGGGGAGCGTCCCGAGCTGGGCCCGGCCTGACGCTGCCCCGCCGCGCCCCCAGAACTGTGCACCGGGCAGGACCTGGCCGACCTGGGCGACCGCCTGCGCGACTGGTTCCAGCTGCTGCGGGAGAACGCCAAGCAGAACGGCACCGCGGGGCTCCCCGCCAGCCCCAGCTCCGGTACCGGTCCCTGCCACACGGGGAGGGCGCGGGGGCTGCTGTCCCGGGAGGGACCGGGCAGCCACGGGCTCCATCCTGCCCCGCAGCGCTGGAGAGGAGCGTGGCGGCCGCCTGCAAGGAGGCGGTGGGGTGGATGTTCGCCCGGCTGGACACCAGCGGGGACCTGTTCCTGGAGCCGGCCGAGCTGGCCGCCATCAACCTGGACAAGTACGAGGTGTGCATCCGCGCCTTCTTCAACTCCTGCGACACCTCCAAGGACGGCCGCGTGTCCGCCCCCGAGTGGTGCTTCTGCTTCTGGAGGGAAAGTGCGTCAGGACAGGGGGACACGGCGCTGAGGGCCGGGGATGGACACCACGGGGTCAGGGGGAGGCACCCTGTGGGGCTGGGGGATCTGTGTCCCGGGGGATGCATGCCATGGAACGGGGAATCCCTGCTGCGGGATTGGGGTTGTGCCTCGTGGGGTTGTGGGGGATCCATGGTGTGGGAGGTACATCATGGGGGATGTATGTGGTGGGGTAATGGGCAATCCTTGCTGTGGGTTTGGGATGTTTGCTTTAGGGGGAGAGATACACCACAGGGTTTGGAGGGGGAGGGGGCTGGAAACCATGCAGGGATGCATGCTGTGGGTCACAGGGAAGCACAGCTTGGGTGAAGGGGGATGTGCATCCTAGGGGATGCATAGCATGGGGCCAGAGGGACACACACTGTGGAGCTGGAGGATGCACACTATGGAGCTGGGGGATGTATTCCATGGGCCAGGGGGACACCGTGGAGCTGGGGGATGTATTCTGTGGGGGATACACACTGTGGAGCTGGGGGATGTATTCCATGGGCCAGGGGGACACCGTGGAGCTGGGGGATGTATTCTGTGGGGGATACACACTGTGGAGCTGGGGGATGTATTCTGTGGTGCTGGGGGATGCACTCCATGGGGCCAGGGGGACACTGAGGAGCTGGGGGATGTATTCCATGGGAGATACACACTGTGGAGCTGGGGAATGCACTCCATAGGGCCAGGGGGGCACTGTGGAGTTGGGGGATGCACACTGTGGTGCTGGGGGATGTACTCCACGGGCCAGGGTGGGTGCACACCGTGGGGATGCACACCACGGGTAATGCACAATGTGGGGTCTGGGGGATTGCACTCCATGGGGGAATGTGGAGTTCTGGGGGATGCACACCACAGGGACGAATGCTGTGTGGGGTGAGGGATTGCCCACCCTGGGGGGCTGCATGCCCGCCCTAAGAGCAGCACGTGGCCTTGCTGCAGAGCCGCCCTGTCTGAGGGAGCTGGAGAAGATCCAGATCCAAGAAGCGACCAAAAAAAAGCTGGGTGAGTGGGGCAGCCCAGGGCCCTTTCCCCAGCAGTGCCCGCGCAGCCGGGCCGGGATGAGGATGAGGATGGGGCCCTGCCTGGGGGTTTGGCACTGCACGTGTTCGGGGGGGTGGGGGGCCGTGGCTTCCCTGCAGGCACCTTCATCCCCAGCTGCGATGAGGATGGCTACTACCGGCGGGCGCAGTGCGAGCCGGGCGGCGGCGAGTGCTGGTGCGTGGATCAGCACGGGGCCGAGCTGACGGGCACCCGCGGGCACGGCAGCCCCGACTGCGGTGAGAGCTGCGGGGGAGCCCCCGAGGCACGGGGCTGCAGCGCGGGGCCCCCCCGAGCCTCTGCCCCTCGCCCCTGCAGATGAGGCGACGGGGTTTTCGGGAGACTTCGGCAGCAGCGTGGGCTGGGAGGACGAGGAGGAGAAGGAGCCGGAGGAGGCGGGCGAGGAAGGCGAGGAAGAGGAGGGCGAAGCAGGCGAGGGCGACGACGGCGGCTACATCTGGTAGAGGAGCAGGAGAGCCCGGTGGGCGGCACGGCCGGGAGGCAGCCCCCGAGCCGGGGGTCCCCGTGACGCCCCCGCTGCCGGTGTGGCATGGGGTGGGTGCTCCCCCTCCGGTCCCGCGTGGGACGGGGACACGGGGCGCTCGCGGGGCGGGGGGGGCCGCTCTTATGCGAATTTGAGCTTTTTTTTTTTTTTTTTTTTTTTTGGGTAGAGCCTTGTAGGCCTAGTGTGCTGCTGCGTGGTCTTCAACCGGGCAAATGGCGCTAATAAAAGTGGGAAAAAAAAGGAAAAAACAAAAAAAACCCAACAAACCCCCTTATAGATAAGCTGCCCCCCCTTCCTCCCCGCATCCCCCCTCATGTTGTGCTTGCGTGGCTGCCCCGGCCCCGGCGTTGTGTAGCGGCTGTGAAATAAATACCCCGTGCTGTGTCAAACGCTGGCCCGCCCGTTCCTGCCCTGTCCCGTCCTGGGGAGGGGGTGCTGCGGGGCCGTGCCCCCCGTGAGCGGGCTGGGAGCAGGTTGGGGTGGGGGTGTCCCTGTCAGTGCCCGGGTTTGGCTCCTGCACTCGGCTGCCATGAAGCTGGAATGGCCTCCCTCCCCAGGGACATGGCCCCTCCCCAGCTCCTGACCCTCTCCATGACCCCACACCTTCCCTTTCACGGGCTCCAGAGCCATGGAATGGCTCAGAACTGCCCCCCCTCCCCCATGCTTTACCCCAGCCCCAAACAAGACCCCAACCCAATCCTGCCCCTGACCCAGAGGATCCCTCCCAGGACCAACCTGCCCCCAGAACCCACCCCAGGCCCTGGCGAGGGCCTCCACCACCCCCAGCAGCCACTGAGCACACGGGACACCAGGGCCTCAACTCACAGCATTTATGGCCCCGGGGAGAAAATAAAACAATCGTACAGACCCCAAACCTCCCCACTTGGGGCTGTCAGCAGCTGTCCAAGGCACTGTGCCATATCCCCTGCCCCGGGGTGCCCGTGCCCCACCGGCTCCGTGCAGTGAAGGCGCCTGGGCTCCGCAGCACCGGGGCTGCAGAGGGGACGGCAGCGCCACCCCCGGCACCTCGGTCCCTGCCACAGGTCCCCGGGAGGGGGCTCAGAGCTTGCTGGGGGGGCCTGGCCGCTGCTGGAGCTGCCAAGCCGCTCTCACCCCGTCCCCCGCCCGGTTGAGCCCCGCGAAGGCGGCGGGGTCGCGGGTGCGGCGGTATCGCGCCACGAGCGGCTGCAGGACCGTGATGGGGATGCAGAAGTTGAGGTGCGGGTAGGTGGCTCCCGCACCGGTGTCCCGCGTGTTGCTGGCCACGATGCCTGGCGGGGAAGGAGCGACAGCCGCGTCAGTGGGCCCGGCCGGGGGACACCCACCCATGGGACACCCACGGGGACAGCCCTGGCTCACCCATGAGGCTCCCGCTGCCGGAGGACACCAGGGGGCCGCCGCTGGAGCCGCCGTGCACGGCGCAGGTGGTTTGCAGCATGACGGGGCGCCCGGCCACCGCCAGCACGGCCGAGAGGATCCCCGCGGTCACGGAGGGGCCGCACGCCCGCCCCAGCGCCCCGAAGCCCAGCACGGTCACCTCTTCCCCTGGCACGGGAGAGGCAGCAGGTGGGGACAAGGGGGCGAGGCAGCCCCGATGGAACACCCCGTGTGCCCCCGGGCGTACCTGGGAGGAAGGTGCTGGCCAGGCACGGCGGGACAAAGCCTGGCACGCTCTCCTCCAGCTCCACCACGGCCACGTCGAAGGGGGACGACTCCTCGGTGGCGAACACCACACGGCCCCAGAGCACGGCGGCGGCATCCCTAAGGACACGGTTAACGGGATGTCAGGGCGGGGGACACACGCAGGGTCAGGGGGTTGAGGTTTGGGGGGGCACAGCCGCACTCACTGCCCGGCGCCGGCCGCCGGTGTCACACGGAGCGGGGCTCTGGCCTCCACCACGTGCCGGCAGGTGAGGAGCAGCCGCGGTGCCAGCAGCACCCCGGAGCCCCAGGTGGCCCCGCACTCCACCAGCGCCGTCCAGCCCAGCGGGTCCCGCCCGCCGCTCGCCGGCACCGCGGCCACCCAGGCGGGCACGGGCGGCACCGCGACCCCGGCCTCGCCCAGGACAGCGGCGCTGCAGCGCAGGATGGCGGCGAGGGAGCAGAGCAGCGTGAGCCCGACCCACTCGGCGCCCTTCCAGCACAGCGAGGCGGCGATCACGGCCACGGCGCGGGGCCCGGCGGGCGAGGGCACGAAGGCGGCGCCGCCCTCGGTGCCGGGCAGGCAGCGGGCATCGGTGAGCACCAGCGCGTTCTCCTCGCCCGCCAGGTTGCTGACCACGCCGCGGCTCAGCGTGTTGAGGAAGAGCTCGGGGCACAGGTCTCCGAACGGGGACCCGCAGGCCAGCAGCGCCTGCCCCTTGCGCAGGCAGCCGGCGCTGGCCCGCGCCGCCCAGCCGCCCTCGGCCGCGTCCAGCCCGGGCACCCGCAGCCAGGCGAACCAAGGCAGCGCCCGCGGGTCCGTGCCCGCCGCCTCCTCCTCGGCCCCGAACCGCCAGCGCTCCGCCCGCCCGAGCCCGCGCTCCAGCGCCCGCCGGAACGGCGCGCACGGCACCAGCGCCAGCAGCCGCGCCCCGAGCTCCCGCAGCCCGCCGGCTTCGCCGCGCAGCACCACGCTGAGCCGCGGGCACGGCCGCAGCGCGGAGGGCGGCAGCGCGGAGGGCCGCGCCCAGGCGGCGGGGCCGGCGCGCAGGAACGGGGCGAAGACGGCGGCGTGGCAGAGCACCAGCCCGGGGCGGCGGCTGAGCACCAGCCCGCTGCCCCCGCCGCCATCGCTATCGCCGCCGCCCGCGCTCCGCACCCGCACCGCGCAGCACGGCGGCGCCGCCGCCATCACCGCCACGACCGCGCCCCGCCCCCGGGCCCGCCCCGCGCGCCCATTGGCTGCGGCCCCGCAGCGCGCCCTCTCCATTGGCCGGGGCGGGGCGCGCACGTGGCGGACACGCCCCCGCGCGGCCCTCACGGGTTCCGGGGCCCGGCCCGGCCTCGCTTGCCGGGACCGCCGGGCCAGGCCGACCCCGGGCCCGCTCCCGGGACATCAGGGGTGCCCGCTCGGAGCCCTCCCTCGGCCTCTGCAAGAAGGGGGATCACCAGCCCGCAGCCGCCCCTCGGCCCCCAGGGCCCAGCGCTGCCCCTCGGGACACCGGCACAGGCCCCCCTTCCCCGGGACCCTCGGCCCGGACACCCCACGGGCCCGCTCGGTTCCCACCTCACCCGCAGCACGAACGAGTACCAAACCTTTATTTCCAACAGAGGTACCGGGACCGGGAGAATCCCTTTGGGAGAGCTGAAATCTCCCCGGATACCGGGAGGCAGAGCCAAAGCCTCCCAGCCCCTTCCTGGCTGCCTGGGCTCGGTGTGGGTTCGTCACACCAAGAGCAAAACCCCTGCAAGCCATGAGCTCTTGCCTAGAGGCAAGCAGCTCTTCCATCCTGCCTCAGTTTCCCTCTCTGGCTGCACCACGCAGGTCACAAAACATTGGAATCATTGAATGAATATCCTGATTGGAAGCGACAAGGATTGAGCCCAGCTCCTGGCCCTGCACAGGACAGCCCCAAGAATCCCACCCTGTGCCTGAGAGCGTTGTCCAAAGGCTCCTGGAACTCTGTGGCTGGTGTTCTGATGGCCCCAAGGCCCAGCAAACACCAAGCCAGACTGAGGCTCGTTGCCCCTTCGGAGGAGAAAGACATGTCTTTATTGAACTGAAAATGAGTGCCAGACAGCAATGAAACTTCAGACAAAAAAAAAAGTCCGTTGAGAGTATAAAAGAAACCAGTTTAGTCTACATTAATCACCTCATGATATGCAAATGTCAAACACTTCCATGCTACAGCCACCAAACAGCTCCGTGGTTCGTACTGTGATGGCGTGGCCAGAGGAGCCTCGATGGAGGGTCTGGCCTGAGGGGAACCAGGCAGCCCCTTCCCACTGCACACCACCCCCAACACCTGCACCAGGTGCTCCTCCCCAACTAGGAAAAAAATAAAATAAAATAAAAATCCCTGTAAACTAAAGAAGCTGGGATTGCACACCTCAGTCCCAACGGCAGCTCGCCGTCGTCGGTCAGCGTGACACAGCACAGCCACCCTACAGCTCAGTTAAGCCCAAATGCTATGTTTATTGAGGACTTCTAATATCGTGATACCTTGCTTCAGTAATTTGTGAAATACCTAAATACCGTTAAATATATTTTTAAAAAACCCTAAACCAGACTCTGGACTAAACAAGATGAACGTTAAACTAAAAAGTTAGAAGGGACGCCATTTACATTAACACTTTCTTTAAAAAATATAATTGCTTTTTTTCCTTTTCTGGTTGTTTGTTTGTTTGTTTTTGAAGTCAATTGACCACAGTGGTGAGACGTGCTCTCTTTTTCAGCTGTTACACTGCAGCGTGCAGAGTTTTGCCTTCCCAGGCTGGAGCAGCCCCGCTGTCACCCCACTGGCAGGGACAACCCAGGGACGGCGCTGCCTCCGGAAAAGAGCGGTGTCACCACTGTGCCATAGGGGCAGCTGGAAACCAGGAGTCTCTTGGGCAACGCCAGGAAAGCCTTCCATGTTCTAATAGAAAAGTCCATAGGAAGCTGAAGTGAACAGGATCAGTCCAGAGGAGTTGACTCTCGCGTCCGTGGGCGTCAGTCGATGTACTGCGATAGCCAGCGGAAGCCCTCGCCGTAGCCTTGCCTCTTGAGCACGCTGCACATGAACACCTCCATGGGGCGCGCGTTCAGCTCCTTCAGCGGCACGTTTCCCTGGGGAAATCCAAACTGGAGTCACATCTGCAGCCTGCTGCCCTCGGGGGAGCGCCCAGCGAGCCGCACCCATCCAGGGCAGCTCCTCTCACCAGCCCTGTGTGTGTGTGCTGCATTCTGGACAATCCCGGCAGCCTCAGGGCAGCATCAGAGCTTTGGGCTGGCAGGGACCTTAAAAATCACCTCATTCCACCCCACTGCCTGGTCCCACTGTCCCAGGGTGCTCCAAGCCCTGTCCAACCTGGCCTTGAACACTTCCAGAGATCCAGGGGCAGCCCCAGCTTCTGTGCCAGGGTGTCACCGGCCAGGGGTATATGTACAAATCACAAACGGGACGGGACTGCTGTGGAACGTGCCTTGAGCTCTTTTTCTGCTGACCAATCTCATGGCTACTGCTTAGCTCTAATCACAGTTCTCCTGTCTCTGAGGCCTGCCTTTTGCAGCATTCCCAAAACCCTCTGCTTTTGTGGATTCCCACACCAGGGCCTGCCCACCCTCACAGGAAGAATCTCTTCCCAGTTTCCCATCTGAGCCTGCCCTCTGGCAGTGGGAAGCCAGTCCCTCTCTCCTAGCCTCCCTTCAGGCACACCATCATTATTATCATTGATTAACCTGGACCAATTAATGGACAAATTCCCA